GAGCGATTCGAAAATAATTACAATATTTCATAGTGAAACTTTTGGCGAGTGATCTTTCTTAAAATATTTTGCCACCAAGGAGAGACGCACAACGGAGCATGCGCGTTGGTTCTCCTTAAAGAACGAAGGTCGCTTCCCGCAATGCTTGGATAGAAAATGGTGTACCATTGCGATTCACACATTTACCAGCGACCTCCGCGCTTCCCCGAGCCCCACTGTTCGGCAGTGTCATAAGTTGCAGCGTGAATTTTACTACAGTGTGAAATGCGGGACATCTTGAAGATTTGGGAATTTCTTGCGGGACGCGGGACACGAGCCCTCAATGCGGGACTGTCCCAACCACTCTCTGGTATAGACGCTTTACACACGCGCCAAATTACAGCCGCCATTGCTGACCTTCTCTTGTCTTACCGACATGCCGAGCAACTGAAAAGGTAGTTGACGATCTTCTACAAAGGCCGATGCTTTAGAAAAGGACACAGTTGAATCTAATATGGCAGTAACCTGGCCTGCTATGGTAATGATGAAGTGAAATAAACGGAATAAGAGGAAAGAAAAACTGAAGGTCAGTTATGGCGGCGTCCATGCACAGCTGCTGCAAAGCGTCTATATTTGCACTTGCGTCTTCGTCTTTTTTTTCTTGGTATTATGAACTAGGGCCATAAAGAATAAACTGACATGCGAACAGTGTCGGAGGCGAGAACAACACGATGGCAGACCGGACGCCACGGGAGAGCGAGCCACCTGACAGGCATCTTAGTACAAGAGGCGTCGCTCCAAGTGAAGCCAAAATCTTGCGCGCGCCATACTTTCAAGGAACGAGGCTCCTATTGGCCGCTGCGCGCCAGTTTCAACGATGGACATCCCATGGCGCTGCGTGCCCGCGAGCACTAAAGCACTGGACTATTACCCAGTGCTTTAGCGAGCACCGTCAGCGCGCGGGAAAGTAGTCGGCTGTACCGTCGCTCTGCAGAGAGCGGCGGCACGGCCGATGTCCGCGCAGCACGGCCACTTCACGAAAACGCGCGCAAGAACGGCATTCATGCTTTCGCATCCACAACTAGGGGTGTCGCGAACTTTTGTCGAACCGGATTTTTAGGTCGAACTTTCGGGGTTCGACTGGGTCGAACCGGTTCGACGAACCTTCGAACCTTTCACCAGATTCGACCGGTTCGACTTTGCGGACAGTGTGGCCAGACCTTGATACACGCATGTCTAGGTTTGGAGAATTTATTTTTATGCAAAGAGGTATTTTATGTTATGAACAGTTGCAATTAAAAGAAACCAATTTTAGTCACTGAGGACGTTAATAACTTAATTGTTTTGTACTGTATTAACTGAAATAACCAATCAGCGGTGCCCTTAATTCATCCCTTAGCCATTACCATCCAATCCGAAGCCAACTGTCCAGCCTGTCGCGCATGCGCACACGAGTCGAACCTCAATACAAGGTTCGTCGAAATTTCCGCAAAAGGTTCGAAAAAGTCGAACCTGGTCGAACTCGAACCTCGGCCGGTTCGCGACACCCCTATCCACAACCCACACTGCTTAGGTGTACCTCGAGCCTTTTTTTTTTTCTGAGCCATTATAATTTTATATCAAAGTAAATAATTTATAATAACATGTTTGTACATGAACGTGATCGTACTAGTGCGTGTGGATTTAGTTTTATATTAACGCTGGTAAAATATTCATATGGCTAATTGTCGCATTTTTATTTGTCTGGCTACAAGTCTGTCAACCCAATTTTTTTCTTTACCGATCTGGCGCCTTTTCAGCATATGTACTTTATTATTTATTAAAAAATATATATAAAAAAAACGTAGAACTTCATTGCCCCAAACTGCAGGTTCTATCATGAATTTAACAAAATTCATATATGGAGAGCACGATACGCGACATTTAGGAAGCGATGCTTTAGCCTCCTGAAACGATAGGGCAAGGAATTAACAAATAAATACGTTGCATTCTACCGGGTGAAACAAGGAGACGGTAGGCACTTTAAATCGACCGGAAAATTCGGTTTCTTAACCTATCGCGCTACAACTTTGTGCAGCGTTGCCCACAGATGGTGCATTTTTTTTGTAAAATTTGCAAAGAGCGAACTTACCTGAGGGAAAAGTAAAGAAAGAAAAAGGCTTAGCTCCTATGGAAAGGCAGCGACGCCACCGGTCTGCAATCAACACGGCGCCGTTTTGCACGGGAGACAAGAGATGGCGCAACGAACGCCGCCAACGAACGAGCATACGGGCGCCGAGAGCCGGCCGAGGTATTCCTCAAAGGCTCTTTAGCAGACGATCTTTTCGACTCAAAAGCGGCGAGCGTTCCGCAGGCGGCGACAGTCGCAGAAACAAAAAAGACAGGCGCGGTAACAACAAGGAGCTGCAGTTCCTTGTCTGCTAATTACGCCGGCTCTCGGTGTCGTCTGCTCGTTCGTTGGCGGCAGTTGGCGTCGCGACCGCTTGCGCCATCTCTTGTCGACCGTGCAAAACTGCGCCGTGTTGATTGCAGACCGGTGGCGTCGCTGCATTTCCATAGGAGCTAAGCCTTTTTCTTTCTTTACTTTTTCCTCAGGTAAGTCCGCTCTTTGCAAATTTTACGAAAAAAATGCACCATGTGTGGGCAACGCTGCACAAAGTCGTAGCGCGATAGGTTAAGAAACCGAATTTTCCGGTCGATTTAAAGAGCCTACCGTCTCCTTGTTTCACCCGGTATAGACAATTGCAAGGATGGCGCCACAAGTGGTGCCCCATGCGTGCAAGCGCGTGCAACGCGCGGGTGAACGTAGCTTTGGCAAGCTCGTAATCGCACTGGCGTGCCTGCTCGAGCAGAGACATGGCGGCGGTCAGTCGCCCGGCTTGCGATCGTCTATACACGATTGCAAGCTGGGCGACTGGCCGCCGCCATGTCTCTGCTCGAGCAGGCACGCCCGTGCGATTACGAGCTTGCCAAAGCTACGTTCACCCGCGCGTTGCACGCGCTTGCACGCATGGGGCACCACTTGTGGCGCCATGCTTGCAATTGTCTATACAACTCGTTTAAAGTTATATGGCCCAAGTCGAGTCGCTCTCAGAATTAAGCAATTATAAAGTAATTGAATTACTTTTTAAAAGTAATTTGTAATTACTTTTCACGTAGTAGTTAATTGTAATTAAACAACTTTTTGAACACAGTAATTAAATTACAACTTGGAAGCAACTTACCCGTGTATGCTGTACTACCAGAAACAATGAGCTGCAGCACTGGGGGAGACAAAAGCGGGTCCATATCACAAGAGCGAATGACATTTTAGCGAACGGCGACATTTGAGCGAATGGTCGTTTTAGCGAATAACGGGGGCACGCGTTAACCCATCCGTCGAGCTGCGCTTTACGCCGCTTCGCGGCGACAGTCTGCGGCAACTCATTACAAAAATATGAACTCACTTGGCCCACCCGAAAACGCCGCTTCGCGGCGTCCGACTATTCGCTAAAGTGTCGTTCGATGAAACGTGGGCGTTCGCTAAAACGTCATTCGATCAAGTGAGTGCCTCCCGACAAAAGCTGCCTTTTTTTTGTCTGCTCCACTACACTAGTCGAACGAATTCGAATGCGAAAGTGCCGGCGTTCTAACCCGTTCGCCAAGTGCAGTGGACACAAAGCCAGCTAGCTTTAGGTCTACCCACTAATCATTCCAACCAGGGCTCGCCGTGGTCACGTCTCTCACCTCCACTCCGTTTCTCGGTGCATTGTTACGCCTGCCGTCCATTTTCTCGATTAGCTAAACTGAGCCCCATTACAGCCCTTCCGAACTAAAGTTCCTTAAAAAAACTGCAAGTTATGCCAAAGCGGTGTATGGAGGTAGGTTAGCAACTGATGTTCATCAGTTTATTTTTGAGTAAGATAGGAAAAAGTTTTTCGAAATATTTGTTTACAGGAAGTTTTGAGTTTTCCATAACTTTCTTTTATCTTCCACGAAATAACGAGTTCATGGGGTCTTTAGCATTGTTGGCCTAGGTAGAGAACGATCACTAGTAAAGCATCCTTTCCATTGACAATGATGGTGTCAATTTTTTTATCATATAAATTCATTTGAAATAACTATAGGTAGTTCATTAAATACACTAATCTGTTTTGAGAATTGCACTCTTTAGATGGACGTGCAAATGGAATTTTGGTACACAGCGACAAGGACAGGTCTTTGATTAGACGTGCCAACTTATATGCAACAAAACTTGGGTGAAACTTATACTTCGAGATCCATGTGCGATATGACCTAATTAACGGGGATCTTCCACTTCCTGCTCATCACATGGAGGTACTCAAGTCTGACTGGATCTCTCGAACACTGGCCGTCGACTAAGATGACAAGCAACAATCGTCAACGAAAGGAGGGCCGAGGAATTTGAATGAATGCCTGGGAAAAAGAAGTGTCCAGGAGGGCTCTAAGCGGAGGAAGGGCGAATGCAAGACATGCTACATTAGACACATTAACGATTGTCATGGGAAGGCTGCCCAGTAATTAAAAAGAAGAAAAAAAAACCTTTTGTGACTTTTACAAACACAAATGCAAACAAAAAATAGGAAAAGTACCAGAATCTCAAGAAAAAGATAAAGACTGGTCGTGTTTTTACAACTGCTAGTCCCCAAATTTGGGGTATTCTGGACAAATTCGAATATGCAATATTTTTAGAGTGTTTTCGGATTTTGTCGTATTTGTCCGAAACCTCAGAATTCTCCTAATATTGTATTCAATAGCACTGCTACAATGTGTTCTTCCTGTTTTCCATTTGTACAATGTGTTGTGAGCAGTGGCGTCACTAGGGTCAGCGGCACCCAGGGCGGTGGCACACAGGGCGGTGGCCCGCGGCAACACTCCCCGCTCATCGTCCACCTCCATTCCCCCCCCCAACTCGTCGCCCGCCGCAACTCTCCCCCCCCCCCCTTCCCGTTGTGACGCCACTGGTTGTGAGTATTTATATGTATTTATATAACACATACTAAATGTTGAAAAAGTACAGGTTTAAGCTTAGCAATTACTTTATTCACTCTCGACCCAGTGGATGAGGAAAAGGAAAAGCAGGTAGTTGGGTGAGGAAACGGAGAAATATGTAGGGCATGCATACACATCTGGGAAATAAAGCAGGACAGTTTCAAGGTGGTGCGATCTCGTTCATAAAAGTATTTACACTGCACTATCTAGCTACCACATGAACTACAAAACTTTAGCGGTTCAGAACCTCCAAGCTGTAAGCGATCCACGCTTTTGAGTAACCTGCATAACTCCAGTTATGGACAAACTGCAATGACTCTTGAAAAGATGTCCCTCTGCCTGGCAAAGAAAAAAAACCTGTCATACATAATTTCCACTCCGAGGCAGGTTGCAGATACGTAGCTCAACCACTACTAAGGTATGTACATGTTCCAAAAAATGTGTGCAATACGCATGCACAACACAAGCATGCCAAACATTAGTAGAAACATGAGAGGACACTTTACTTGAGCACTGCATAAAAATGTTACATTAGCACAGAATCCTCAAGTTTGATACTGTATTCACCTCCTCCTCAAAACACAGATCAATGGGCCTACAAAGTGTTGCACAGAACTGGTCACAACAAACAAAGCTAGATGCACAATTTCAATTAAACAAATGCAAATTGCAGGAAAGTATCGATTTCAGGCTGTAACGAAGGAAAGCAAAGAGACAGTAACATCAAGTTATGTACAGCTCCATAAACACAAGGGGTCATCCAAAAATACAAAATATGCTCATATACTGAGGACTGTGCTAGACTGTAGCCTGACAAGCACTGTGAAGCAGCCAAATAAATTAAGGGGAAAAAAAAAAAAAAGGTACTTTATCTTAGACCTTTATTGATCGATCCTCGAGGTGCACATCGGGGAAACCACTCCTTCGGATAAACATCATATCAAAATTTATTGGGGGTCCACAAACTTCCACAAAGCAGTCTTCTGAATCCTGCAGCCCCAAGGCAGTGAAAGGAAAAGAAAGCTGCTAGAAGAAAGCAAGAGCTCGAGATAGAAACAAGGAGGCCAGAGTCAGCCAACTGAAAGTCCTCTAGGAAAGAAAGAGAGGAAATGAAAGCAAAGACAGACTGGGAGGCGAGAGAAGACAGCACATTCTAGCCAAATGTCACTTGGGGGTGACGCCAAGACCTGGTGTGCACAGGCACCGACTCAGTCAGAAACATCATGCCCCTCTTCATCTTGCAGGTGGGAGTATATGTTCTTGCTTGTGTACACCTGAAGCAAAAGAAAATTCACTTTTCTTAGTTGGGTTACCTAAATCCAACATTAACCAATAAACACCACTACGCAGGAAATTTAGTCTACTTGGCTTCGGAAGTGCATAGGTAAATCAAAACTAAGATTTTTTTTTTGTCCGAGTTTTGGTTTTTAAGCTGAAGGGGCAATGCAACAGCTTTTGTACTTTCGGTAAATACAGCTTAGAGCGATTCCTTGACATCAATAACCCATAAAACATGCATTAAGTTGTAGCAGAAAAAATTGGAGAAAAATTGAGCAGTGCTCGTGCCTACCCTCTCAATTCACAGCCAGAAGCGGCCAAAGGCCCTAAAGTCGTCGAACACAAAGTTGAAGCCCAAAGTTCGCGTTGCGCGCCGATTGGACGCCGGCGAAAAAAGCGCCAAGTCATCGTCGGGATAGTCCAATCGGTGCGCTCCACGAACTTCGGCCCCAACTTTGTGTTTGACGAGTTTAGCTCCCCAGATATCTTGAGTTGATGGTATGCCGCTAATGTTTATCATAACCATGTGTTGCAGGCACGAGCCGAGTTACACACATTGCTCAGATTTGGCAATTCCTGTCATCGCAGCGATTGGGCAGGAGCCACTACCCGAATGCATGCTGAGCCACTGATTTTCACGAGTCCAAAGGCTCACGCAGTGCTCGTGCCTACCGCATGAGCCTCGTTTAAAGAAATTCCAAAGGCACCTAAGCACTTCTTATGAGTTGTGAAGGCAAAAGCATTGATGTCCAATTGAACGCCACTGAGTGCTCCTCGCTGGTGACTGCTCTGCCATTGGGTGAGGCAATGGCGGGAGTGCGAAGCTCGGCGCGGCGTGCTGGAATCATGCATCTTTTCATCATCATCACCCTAGCTGCGAGCACCGGTTGATGACGTTAGACCTCAAAGTGTAACGTTAGGCCTAATGTCACGCCAGCGTATACCTGTGTTCCCCCCTCACATCTAACACTTGCGCGTGCCGGTTGATGACGTTAGACCTCAAAGCGTAACGATAGACCTAACGTCAGGCCAGCGCATACCAGCGTCCCCCCCCACCCGCTGCACTGCCAGCAGTTCGGCTGGCTCCATAGCAACGATGATGCCGCTGCTAAGGAGCAATATGACGCAACGCAGCCAATAGGAATTTAGGTGCCATTTCGCTCAGCCATGGGGAATTAGGTGCCATTTATCGCTGCTACAGACGATAACGCTGGCTTTGCTCCATGGGACAGTTAATGCTTTCGCATTAACACTGTCACCGTGGGGACCACAAAGCTTGACGATGAAATCCCGGGGTAATATTCTTGACGTTGTCAACAATGCAATCCCCGCAACTTTCCCATTGCTTTGCGAAGGAAAGACCGAAAGAAAACGTCCGCTTTTCTTCTTGAAATTGCACGGCGACAAAAAAGCTTCTTGGTCAGCGGCCTTGCCTGCGAGTATGCTTGGATCTCAGTAGTGCCAGCGAGTTTGTGTAAAAGGAGAAACATTCCTAACCAATACTGCTGCACGGCCCCTTTAAAGGGATACTTTAACGAAATTTGAAATATTCCCTTTGTGTTCAAAAATAGGTTGAATATGATCCACAATATCCGTAAATGACAATCGCACGTTTGTATTTTGAGCCTGGTGGCTGTATTTTTCGTTATAAACGGCCCACTCTGGCAAGCGCTCGGAGAAGGCCCAGCGGAGACCACATGACATCCAACGCAATCGTGACGTAGGTCGTCTCAGGACGAGTGAAGCTACGGCGAGGCTGACGTCGAGAGGATGGGCTAGTCGTTCCAGCCACCGAAGCGGCTGCTTTTGTACGAATTTTGAGTGACAGGTTAATCTTCTGTAATCTTGTAGAGGGACAATAGCGACTTCTGCGACACAAAAAAGGCATTCTCGGGAATAGGGGAGTTCCTCCTGCCCCTCTTCTCTCGTCGTGGCCGGAGGCGAGACAACCTCCGTCACTAGTTGTCAAGGTTGCCAGACGGCATTACAAGCGAGGAGTTAGCGACATCCACCAGGTGCTCTTTGCTAATTGTTTAATTCGTTTTAAAATTCCTTTTCGTGACTTTTTTAACAAGATATTGGTATGTTCAATGTGATGCTGCTCCTTTGAACACATATAGACCAAAAAATGAGCGCCGAAATTTCGTTGTAGTATCCCATTAAAAAGACACCGACACCCCCCAAAATGTTTTTTTAATTTTTTGCCAGGCGATTCATTATGGTCTCGGAAAACTACTCAATTAATATTCTGCTGCAGAATCACATATTTTTTTAATAAAGCCAAAAAACGCAACTGCTTGAAACCGAAATCGAAACTTCCGCACCGCATGGAGAAGTAGAGAGGATAGAGCGAGTGGCAGAAGTCACGTGGCTACATCCGACTGTGCAATTATTTTTTTTTTCCCCCGCTCGCAGCAGACGATGTGAGTGGTGGGATCCGTTCGCCGTGCAATTCCTTTGCAGTTATGTTTGTTCCGCTCGCTGTTCTGTACCTGAAGATAAGTTGTTTTGTAGATTTAAGTGTTGGCAATTAGTAGTGAGTGCCCGTGGTGAATTCCCATGATCAGCTCCGAAAAGAATACTCCCAGGATGTTGCGTGAAGAGCTACCTCACATGTCCTGCATCTGAAAGTGGCATTGGGCGGCAGAGGTGTCGAAAATCGAATACCATACCATTTAGTTCAGCGACGTATCGTCCACAACAATTTTTTTTTTTCAGCGATAATTGTAAAAAAAAAATGTAAACATTGCAAAATGTTTGAAAAAAAAAATGGTACTCCCCACTAGGGATAGAATTCGTGCCTGCTGCGTGTGAAGCGGACGTCTTTCCACTGAGCTACTGAAGGAACGCTTACGTTCGTAGTAACGCGGCCGGTCGACTGTATGTCGGAAACTTTGCTGTTGATTTCCCTCCAGTACATGCACTCTTGGCTTAAAGTCGGGCAGCACCACGCATTAACCACATTCGCACCTAGTAAAGGAACCGTACGCGTGCGTATTCAACTCGAAGTACGCACTTCGAGCTTGACGTTTGAGCGAGCGATGTTTTCAGCCACAAGAAGGGACAACGGCTTGGCGACGTCTTCGTGCAATCGGCATGCTGGTCGGGCGCGTCGTACGGGATAAATATCAATTCTTTTGATCGATCCAAAATTTCTCTTCCGAAGGAAGACAAAATTCGCCGGTACCGTGAAAGACAGTTATGAAGTAAAGGTCCCATGCCCGTCGTCCGCTGCCATCCGCGAGTCCCATGAAGCGCGAAACGACGCCATGTTGAGAATTCTACAGTGAACGCACAGAATGCTTCCAATTGTCTAAGCAACCTTTTTTTTTTTTTTTTTTAATCAACGTATTTGCAGGTTTTTGAAAGCCAGAAAAAATGGGTTTCATATTTTTTTTTTTTTTTTCCCTATTTTTAGTATTGACTGTGTGCTTTCAATGACCCACGACTTTGATTAAATTTGGTGGTCGCGTCGAAACCTTAGAAAACAGCCCGTGATCACGAAACAGAGAGTGAGCACGACTCAAACCGGCCAGTTCTTGATCGGCGGCTTCCGGGCGGAAACAAAACGTATTTCGAGCCGCAAATTCTGTTCTGGGTAGTTGGGCTCTCATATGTTGCCTACAACTAAAATCCTCAGCGAGCATAAATACCCTGTCAGTGTCCCTTTAAACACCAATTCAGAGGTGTTTCATTTTTTAGTTCTGCATTACAGTAGAACCTTCTTGATACACTCCATAGATTTATACATTTTTCCAACTGTATTGTTCACCAACTACGGTCCCGTTCAACTCTCTAGGGATATATCCTCGATTTACTATTCATTCTCTTTGGTTTACCAGCTCTTGTGTGCAAAAACATATCACACGTGGCAGACACGACGCACAGTGCCACAGCAACCCTCCCCCTTTTGCACCACTACCCATCGTGTTCACCTCTTTGCCTCTCTGAGCTGTGCTTCTTGTCTTTCTTGCCCGAGTGGGCACAGACTTTGGGCTAGGCTTGAGAGAGATTTGGGCTTTTGCAATGGCCCATTTGTCTTGCCGCGCTTAAGTTGGGCTTCCGTTTCCTTAGTCCTGATAGTTTAGTATACCATAGAAATTGAAATTTGTAATTGTATGAGTTCAGCTTCGCAATTTCTTTTATTGGGATATGCATCGAGCTCCACCGCCTCGCACCGGCACGCTAGGAATAGTGACGGAAGCGGCAGAAATTCTGTGTCAACACGACGGGCTCGAATTCTTTTTATCCATTTCATAGGTCAACCTTTCTTGATTACGATATGACGACGATGATTCAGAGTTAATTGGCGCAGCAGCAACGAGCGCTATAGTGCGCCAAACTAAGTGTAATTAAGGGATACTACAACGAGAACTACTCCTAGGCAACAAAGTTATAAATCATATAAATATCCAGTTTATCTCAAAAAGACTAAAACTCGGCTGAGCGGTACTAAAAGTTTATCGCCAGGCAAAAACGAGGGATGAAATGGAAGGTGATCTCTAAAAAAATCCGGGAAACATGCTTGACGTAGTGCATAACGAGACGAACAATGCCATAAAATGGTCAAAGGCTCTCCACAGGGTCACATAGTGCGACATCTTCACCACGAAGCAGATACTGGTGTGTCACACGGGAGTCACCAATTCTTAGACGGCACAGAAGAACCTCCACACGACGTTCCCTGTTACAGTATTGACCACTTACAACGCAAGCGCTTATAGTGCAAGACCGGATATAACGCGGTTTTTTTAAACCACCGGTTCGCCTCCCATAGAACTCCATGTAATTACATACCGCTTAAGGGTGGACGCAGGTCTTGAAATCGAAAAAAATCGCAAAAATTTCGGTTTTTCAAAAACAGTACTTCAGGACTCCTTGTATATCTGACCTTGTCTCAGCTAATTCTCGTGGTCTAATTCAACCTAGAAGTACGAAAAAAAACGTAATTACCAGTGGCTAGCGAGTTCCAAATGAGCGCGGAGGCGCGAAATGT